AGGAAATTAGGGTTAACCTGAAGAGAGGAAAACCCCAATTTGTTGAAGACATAACAGAAGAACGGGGTGTAGAGGGAATCTGATTACGTTCAGATGAAGAGCTGAGAAGAGAATCTCCCCGGGAAGGAGACCCTCACCGGTGCTCTCATATAGATCCGCGGGATAAACCCTGAGAGAGACATCATTTGGGATATTATTTTTCGAACGAATAACATTCAAGTTAAGGGGGGCCATTCTAAAAGAAAAAAGGAAAATTTTAAAGCGTAAAAACCTTTTCCTCTAAAAATAGAGCAACAAAAGTAAGGAACTGACCTTGAGAAGGGAGTTTTGCAGAGTGTCCAATCATAAAGCAAAAGTCGAATTGCAACAGGAAAAATTCGCCAGTGAAAACAAGGGAAGTTCGCTGGAAAATACAGATAGATGACAGAAGTGATCGAAGGTAATGATACCAGAGGAAAAAGAAGAGAAAGGTTGAAGAAGGGCAAAAGAAAAGAAGTCAGGTTTTTAAAGTAAAATTGGCTCGACCTATAAGGGGCTATGTTGAAGATGGTGCAGCAGATCTCGAAGCATTAATCTCTGAGCCAACCGTTCATTTCCCCACGTCATCACTTCGAGCCGTCGTATCATGATTAGGCCCTTTCGATAATCCCACCCTAATTAATTAGGGAAAGATTATGGGGAAAGATGAGGATACCCAAAATAACATGGGCCGGGTACGATCCGGGTGATCACAAGTGGGATGGATAAGGACTACCATTCTGGGCTGAATCTTAATTAATCAAGCCCAGGATCATTTCAATTGAGTGGGAAGCCCGGTTTCTTACAAGGAAGGAGCTAAGCATAAAGTAAAGAGAAGCCCAGAAGAACGGCCTAGCTCAGGAAGTTAGTTAGAAAATATCTAGAAAGTCTGTAACAGTCTATAAATAGGTTGTAAGTAGAAGGAAAAAGGGTTGGAAAATTTTGAAGTATAGAATTACTCTTTCTAATATGAGAGGGAAAATTTCATGCATCTTCAGCCATGAACCTCCTCCTCCGGTCACGTCATAGGCAAGGAGGACGACGAGCAAATAATCTTTTTTGATGTGTTATCGGAAGTCACAAAAGAATTCATCCACGTATAACCACGGCCATAAGTAACGGGTACTAGAGGTTGTTGAACAGTTTCCCATATTTTCTTAATCAGGTCGAAAACCTCATTTTTTAATCTTCATAATTACCTTCGTTACCGTGGTCGTCATAAACACCGCCAAAGACATAGATCTTGCCATCAGCAGTCACTGCATGAGCTTCCCGCCTTTTAGCTTTCATCTGAGTAACTTGCCTCCACCGCCCACCACCGACAGTGTCTGCAGCCATGGTAATCACCTCTCGCGATTTATCTCTATAGCTTTCACCACCACGGCCAATACAGTAAATAGTGGAGCCTAGAGCGACACGGCAGCTCGACCATGGAGTCTCCGCCCCCGAGATCGGCTTGATTTCTGCCGTGATCTTTCCTATTCCTCTTCTCTTCCTTTTCCGACAATAGGAGGATGAGGAGTGGTAGTTGTTTGATAATTTCAGTTCATAACAATTCATCTTTCCTGAAGAAGGATGCCCTCGTTCACCCACGCAAATATAGACGGTTTTCTCAACCACCAGCAGAGGAGAGACCCTTTTTGCGAATTCAAGCAAAGATGGAGAGACATTCTATAGTTTTAAACTTCTTACAAATTTTTTTCTTAATTTCTTCTCCGTTTGATCGATTTGCAAAAGTTTGCCGAATGTTGCCATCACCCCACCTGAGAATGAGATCGATTTTTCTTCTTCTTCTGAAATCTTTTCTTTTCTTATTAACCCTAGCAAACTGTTTTGCTTATAGCTGTGTACTACCCTAATTAGGTTTTCCGATGTGAAGTAAGATCGAGACCCTGCCCTCAAAATCCTAATTAGTTTTGGTTAGATGAAAAATTTTATGGAAAGTGAAGGTTTTCTTTCTAAGTTGGGATTTTTACACATAAGTGAAAATGTAGTCAAAGTCTTAAGTTTCTTAAAAATGAAGTTGACTGATTTGGACATGAACCTTCACTGTTCACTATATTTTGTTGACTAAAATACCCCTTGCACTATTTAAATCAAATTACTTTACTACCCCCATTTCATTTATCCAATAAAAACACAACCTAGCTTGAGACCATGAAGACAAAACTCAAACCCAACAAAGCTCATTTGGGTCTTCATGAATGGAGGATTTCTTGAAAGCCATCGAAGACGTCACATTGCTGTGTAAAGCTAATTTTCTTGCATTTGACACCAGAATCAAGAAATAGAGACACCCAATAATCTGGTTGAAGATAATCGAATAATAGCAAATCTAATGAGTAAAGAGATTTAAACCGTTCATTGTATCTTCATCTTCCAATTGTAATATAAACACATCCCACTATATCAAAATATATATATCCAAACTTTTTTGCAGAATCTTTCACTACTCACTCTCTCTATATATATTATAGATAAACATTAATGGAAAGTATTAAAAACCAATCACTTAAAAATTAAGTAAAATCAAAGATAGAGATCGTAATTGAATAAAAATTCAAACTTTTTAAAGAGTAATTAGAATTAGAATAGGAGGAAATGATAAAGAGAAGAACAAAGTACCAGGTGTTTTGTTTGAATATAAGTGGGCAATCAATCAAAGAAAAAGCAAGAATCATAGTCTTCAAACACTGAAAGCAGAATTTTAGAGAGAGAAACCTAGCAATCACAGATGTAGTACAATAGCGTTGCTCAAAACCATATTGATTGAAACACCTGATGATTGTGTTTCATGGCCGTCGCCGCTGTAGCTGTGGAACTAGGTTTGAGTAGCGTCGTTCATGACCAGAATCATCAGCAACACAGTAGCCGGGTTCCTAAGAGACTGAACTTGTAGAATCGGATCGGCACCCCTTTTGGTCAAGAACACTCTTGGTTGAGCTTTCTCATACTCTTTGTCTCTGTGATCCCATTTTTCATCCCTCTCTCTCTAGAATTCTCTCTCTATATGTATATCTTCAGCTTGCCTTCTCTCCCAAGAGTGGACTGAAGTTCAGAAGGGCAAGAACCATCAATCGCAAGCTCAAACCGTGGTGCCCACCAAGACTGACAATATGACTACCACCACCACCACCATTACTGATGACAGCAATAACAAGATTAGGGTGGATCAACTACAACAACATGATGATGATGTTCCTGCTATAGACAATTACATCAGCACTACAGAGGCAGTTCACATTACTAATAATAGTACCAGGAACAAGATTACCAATGGAAAGGATGATACTCACAAGAGACCCAGGGATGCTACTGTTAGTACGGATGTTCCCACCACATCTCTTGAACAAAGTAGCTCAACATGTTCCTCTAGTGCATCTCCAGTTGACGAGGGAGGAGAACCTGTTAATGGGGAGGACAAAGATGATACCAAAGACAAGAAGAAGAAGAAGAAAAAGAAGAAGAAAGGGGATGACTGCCATAACTTTCCTGTTGTGGGGGCTCCAGGTTTAGTCCTCAAAACCCTCTTTTGATGTTTTTTGCTGCTTGGAATATCAGGGGTCTTAATTCCCCTGAAAAACAAAAGGAAATAAAGCAGATTATCAGTGATCATAATCTACATATGATTGGCATTATTGAAACCAAGGTTCAAGAGGCTAACATTGATGGTGTTCATAGAGCCATTGCCCCATCATGGCTTATTCATCACAACTATGAGTTCTCTGGGTTGGGTAGAATCTGTATTTTGTTCAATCCTGCTATCTTGAAGGTTCACAAGCTTTCATTTAATGCACAAGCTATTCATTGTAGTGTCACTACCATCCATGATCAATCTCATTTTTTTTGTCATATATGTTTATGTTTTTAACATTGTTTGTATGAGGCAAAGCCTATGGAATAATATTAGAGCCCAATCTTCATCTTTTTCTCCATCTCCTTGGGCTTTGTTGGGTGATTTCAATATCATAAGACACCCCAATGAGAATTTTGGGGGTTCCCAAAGGTGGAATGCAGGTATGGATGACATCAACAGTTGTATTTTGGACTGTGAATTGACTGAATTAAGGTATACAAGGGTCTTTTACTCATGGTCCAATATGAGCCATGGAGCAGCCAACATTTCTAGAAAGTTGGATAGGGTTTTGGTCAGTGATAAGTGGCTTTCTGGTCTTCCTACTTCCAACTGTGAATTTCTTCCTTTTGGGGTTTCAAACCACTCCCCAATGATAGTCAGTAGTGGAAACCCCATTCTAAAGAAGAATATTCCATTTAAATTCTTCAACTTCATTGGCAATCACAAAGATTTTCTAACCACTGTGGCTTCTGTGTGGCAAACTCAGATTCCTGGCACTCTTATGCATCAGGTGAAGAAAAAGCTTAAGTTACTCAAACATAAACTGAAGTTGCTGAACAAGAAGGATTTTAGCGATGTGCCTCAGAGAGTGGTTAAGGCTAGAGATGCTCTTAGTGCTTGCCAAAGGGCTCTTGATAATGACCCTGGTAATGAGCACCTCAGGAGAAAGGAAAAAGGAGTTGTTGCAGGGGTTTCATAACATATCCATTGCTGAGGAGTAGTTTTATCTCCAGAAGTCTAGAGTCAAATGGTTTAAAGAGGGAGATCAAAACTCAAATTTCTTCATGAAGACATTCAACACTAGATGCAATAGGAAGAAAATTGTTAAACTCAACCTTGCTGATGGTGGATCAACAGAATCTCCAAGTGCCATCAAAGATGAAGCTGTCCATTACTTTCAAAACGTTTTGGGAAGTGAACCATTCTCATATCCTGGTATTGATGCCTTGAATGGAGTCTTCAACAAAAGGGTGCCAAGCCAGTTCATTGATTCTTTAGCTGTTATTTCCTCTTTAGAAGAAATTAGGGACTGTTTCTTTGCTCTAAATAGCACAAAGTCCCCTGGACCTGATGGGTATAATGCTTTCTTTTTCAAGAAAGCATGGCCTATTAATTGTTGGCAATGATGGCTCGTGGCTGTGAAGGAGTTCTTTCTCAATGGCTAACTTCTCAAAGAGGTAAACTCTAATTATCTTGCTCTTGTTCCTAAAGTTGTTAATCCTTCTTCCATGAATGATTACAGGCCTATAGCTTGTTGTAACACCATCTATAAAGTTATTTCCAAACTCATTGCTAAAAAGATCCAACTTGTGTTACCTTTCATTGTGGGTAAGTACCAAATTGCTTTCATAAAGCAAAGAAGAATTGGTGATGGGATTTTTATTGTCCAAGAACTACTGAAGGATATCATCCTAGTGCTGGCTCCTCTAAGTGTTCTCTAAAGATTAACCTCCACAAGGCTTATGACTCTGTTAACTGGAACTTCATTATTGATTGTCTCACAATCCTGCAATTCCCCATAGTTTTTGTTCAGTGGGTTTTAGCATGCATCTCATCTCCATCTTTCTCTATCTCTGTCAATGGAGAGTTAGCTGGGTACTTCAAAGGTACTAAAAGATTAAGACAAGGTGATCACATCTCACCTTTTCTCTTTGTGATTGTGATGGATGTGTTGGACTCCATCATCAATAAGCTTGTTGCTGAGTATAGCCACTTCTCATTGGAGATGTAAGGCAAATAAGATCACTCATCTCTGTTTTGCTGATGATCTCCTTCCATTCTGTCATAGTGACCCTTAGTCTCTGTCAGTTCTTATTAAGGGTCTTCATGAGTTCTCATCCTTGTCTGGTTTGAAGCCTAACCTCACCAAGAGCCAAATCTTTACTGCTAATATTCCTGATGACATCCAAGACGGCATGGTTGCTTCCACTGGGTTTGAGGTTGGCCACCTGCCTCTCAAGTACTTGGGTCTATCTGTGAGTAATACTAGGTTACAAGGTAATGAATACGGAGTTCTTGTTGAGAGAATCATCTCTCGGATCACCAACTGGACCTCAAAGTTTCTTTCTTATGCCGGGAGACTACAACTTGTCAAATCCATCCTCATTAACATACATTCGTATTGGAGCAGACATTTTATCCCTCCTCTCCAAGTGCTGAGCCAAATTAATTGTGTCCTAAGGAAATTTCTGTGGACAGGGAAAGAGTTGAAAGCCATTGGTGCCAAAGTTAATTGGTTGGCTATCTGTAAGCCTAAAGAATATGGAGGGATTGGGCTCCCAAAATTAACTGCTCTTAATAGGATATCCATCCTAAGACACATTTGTAACCTTTTCAGTGACAGTGGGTAATCCTTTTGGTATGTTGGGCACACTCAGTTTTGATCAAGCAGAAAAGCTTCTGGACTCTTAAGCCAAATTAGCTTAGCTCGTGGAACTGGAGGATGCTTCTCAAGTTGAGAGGCCTTGCTAGACCTTTCCTCAAACACCAAGTAGGCAATGGGAAGGATATTTCACTTTAGTATGATTACTGGTTACCCTCTGGCCCCTTGCATGAGAGAATCGACCCCATTCTCATACAAAATTCCCCATGGAACACTCATGCAAAGCTTGAATGCCTTTTAAGGTATGGTCAGTGGAGGTTCCCTCCCCAATTTAAGAGCCTGTTTCCCTCTATTAGTGTTACTGAACAGCCTCCTACTATTACTAACAACAATGATACTCCACTATGGACTCTGTCTATTATAGGGAAATTCAACTTGAAGCACACATATGATGCTCTTCTTCCACCTGCTCCTCTCTGTAGATGGAAACGCATTATCTGGTACCCAAATCAGATTCTTAGTCATGCCTTTGTTACATGGCTTGCAATACAAAATAGACTTCGAACTAAGTATAGGCTCTTCAATTTACAGCCAGCTGATTCACGGAGATGCAACCTATACTCCATTGAGAACGAGACCCACGAGCATATCTTCTTCACATGTATATACTCTACACAGATTTGGGAGCATATTCAACATAGATTTGGATTTTATTATGGGGATTCAAGCTATCTTGTGATAACTAATCAAATTTTGACTCTATGGAACGCAGAGAAGCAATCTATTTCTGCTCTACAGATCAAACTGTGTTTTTCTGCTTGTATCTACTATATCTGGAGAGAAATTAAGGAACAATCGCATCTACTCCTCCAATAGGGTCTCTGCAGAGGCGACGTGGAAGCTTGTGGAAGACAATGTTCGGCAGCGAATGTTGTCGTGCAAGTTTGATAACTCCAGAACCTCAAGATCTATAGCTGTTGATTGGAAATTGCCAAGCTCTGTGATGGCGTCCTCGTCTCAAACGAATTAGTTTTTTCTGTCCTCCGCTCCTTGTTTGAATCTACAATTGTTGGTTGGGCTTGTGTTTTGGTTTCCAGGCTTGGGTTTGAGGGTGGGCTAGCCCACCTTTTGTTTTTCTTTCTTGATTCTGTATATGTTCCTTTTTGTTATAAAATTGGTTGATTTATCGGGAAAAATAAAAATAACAAAAAAATAAAAATAAAAACTCTATGAACTTCTATTTTTACAATAAACTCCCTAAATTATTTCCTTTTCTACAAAAAAAAAAAAAAATTAAAAAAAAAATAAAAAATAAAAAAAAACAAGGTGACATTATTCCGGTGCCTAATCTTCACCTGACTTAAGATATAATTTCAAAATAACTTGAGTTACCCTTATTACTATTAAGAAAATAAAATAAAATAAATTCCAAATTAAAACGTTGTTTTTTAACCCTAATCACAAGTCGCCATTGCCATCAGCAACAACCAGTCAAGTGTGTGCTTAAGCTCGTTGGCGTTGGTGTCGTCTTCCTCACCATCAACAAAGTTCCCTGCTATCTCCTTCGCCACACCCACGTTCACACCCATTTGACTTGTTTCCCAATTTGCTGATTCTAAACTGTTTCTGATGGATTCTCGAAAGACCACTCACGCTACAACGATCTATTCATACTTTGATGCTTTGGAAGCCGTGTCTCCGAGAGATGCTAACCTCCGATCATTTCAATTCTTGACGCCGGAGGTCTGATCATGTGCATCATAGAGGATGGGATCTTTGATTTATCTCTTAGACTTGCCAAAAAAAAAAAAAAAAAAAAAAAATGGTTCCCTTGATTTATTTTGATATGATCAGCCTTTGCTGTGTCAAATTCATTTTGTAGGTCAAATCATTTAACTTAAAGGTGAAGTTGAAGCACTGTTGTCAAAGTCTCAATTTTACCAAAATGATTCTATAGGTTATATATGTGTGAAGACCATTAGATTATCTAATGATCAGATTCTAAACCCAACTAAATGATTAATTTTCTTTTAATACAAAATTATTATTACTATTTTTAGTTTCTAAATATAATATTTACTAATATCACTAATTATAACAATAAAAGATAAGTACTAAACAAATAAAAATAAAAATCGCTTTACATTTGGAAGGTCACATGGTTACTAATAAGAATTTTTGTTTTCTTTCATGTTTTTTTGTTACTTTACATGTTTTTTTTGTTACTTTACATATTAGCTGTCTTTCATAACTTTTTTATTTACCCAAAAAACAATGATGATAGTGAAAGTAAAAAAATAATGATAATATAATAATAGAGTATTGAAAAAAATAACTAATTTATAAAGGGAAACTGAAATTTTATAAAATAATAGCATTTTTTTTGGTTGAAAATCTTCTCATTACGTCAACAAATTTTTGTTATTATAATAGAACTAGAAAATTTGTTATTATAGTAGAACTAGAAATAAAAGATATTGTGGGCTTATTATGATAAATGTGTAATTGGAATGTTTTTTTATATTATTATTTCGTAAAATAAAATGAATGTTGAGTTAACTTACTGGTCATTCAAACTTCAGAAGTCGAATTCGAGAGGTTGTATTTAGGATAAATATGTTATTAAGAAAGATTAAAAAGTGAAACTAAGAAAAGATCCGCAAAAAAAATTAATAAAAGAGAGAAATGCTTCAGATCTTATTAAAGAGAGAGGGTTTTGAACCTGACAAGTGTTCGTCGGAGTGACTCGCCGGTAATATATAGTAATGGGCAGTGTTAGTGATCGTTGGCAGCCGATTTCTCTATTCTTTGGCTCTGTCAATGGCAAGATGGAGAGAGGCGTCGCCAATAGGAATCCCTTGAAAGGGTAACGAAGAGAGAGAAAGTGCCAGTAAGGTTAGTAAAATTGGGTAATTTTTTTAACAATAATATGGGTAGTTTGGGAAGCAAAAGATTAACTCCAGTACAATTTCGTGTCTGCGTCCGACTTTGGGAAAAATCGTCATTCTGTAAAGAGAAATGTTACACCATGTATTTGGCACAATCCATCCAAAACTACATTTATTAGGAACTACTCCTTAATTTTAATTTTATTATTTATTAGTTATTTCTTTTTGTTATTATGAACAGCATAAATAGAAATGCCTTTCTGATTATGATATAGACCAATAAAATATGACATGTGTCTAAAAATTTTAACATAATGAATTAAAATTGTTTGGATCTTTGATCATCCATAAGGAAAGAAATTTTTTTTTTTTTTTTTTTTTTTTTGAGTTTGAGATTTTTTATTACAAACCCTTCATATTGCAATCAGTTATAGAAGAAGTTAAACAATTAATTCAAACATAGTAAATTAACCTCAATTGTAACACTCCAATTATTAATGAAATTTAAAGAAATCAATTTGGCTTCATATTATAACATGTAGTGATAAATCTCAAAATTTTAAATGCTACTAAAATTATTTATTACACATCATTGTATCTGAACTTTAACTCTTATCTAAGTCCACCAAGTGAACCTAGCAAGTAAGTGAATTTGCCAGGAAGTCCGAGTGAAAGTGGCAGATTGTGAGGATTTAGCTAATTCACCCTAAAGAACCTCTAGGGGAAATCTGGAGAGGTCGCCAATCCACGCAAAAGCTTTCGTGTTCTTGAGTTTGCTTTTTTCTATCTTTATCTATCTATTATTTTACTGTTACACATTGCATCTTATATGATAGAAGTTTGGTGATAGAGTTTCATGCTCTATTTCGTGGGAAGGAAAGAAAAAGGGTTAAAGGAAGATACAAACTTCATTTGTTTGCCAAAGAATAGTCAAGGAGAAAAGAGAAAAGATGATTTCCTTCACAATCCCTCCAAATGTGGAGGAAAAACGAAAGAAAAAAGCTAAGGGTATTATGAAAAATTTTAAATTACAAATTTTTTTTTATAGTCAACACTCTCTCGCTCCTTTTCTTCTAACAAACAAAATAAGATATTATCTCACTATCTTCTTTTCCATACAACCAAATAAATTATATATAACCAAACAAAAAGAGAGAATTACATAATCCCTTCTTTCCCTTCTATCTAATATTCTTGCTTCCTACCAAACAGAGCATTAGAGTCTCGAAATTAAGCATTTTTTTAATTATTTTCCATGAAAATTTTTTGTATCCAATAAATTTTCTTTTACTAATTTATTTAGTGATTCTAATGGACTAATTGAACTTAATATTTAATTATAATTTGAATATAAACTTCTGCTATTATAATTTAAATTCAAACGACAATTAAAAACTGTTAATATATTTCTGCTAGGGGTTGGTCCCCTATAATTATCAAACATAATAAATAAAAAGTCCTTCAAATATCACTTACAGCACCACAGCATCCATGAAGCCTACTTCTTCCGGAAGTAGATAAGTTTTGGTGGAGACACAAAAAGCCTTCAAGTGAATTCTCTTTTTTTTCATGTCAACTCGTTTAGAAACTAGTATTCTCGAGCATCGTATAAGAGAATGATAAAACCTGTTGTCAATTTCCATAGAATCATTCCAAATCAAGTAGAACTCGTTACCACGAAAATGGAAAAAGGGCGGAAAATAACCCATTGAGGCGTAAAAAGAATGAAGACCAAAACCTAATATAGGTGTGTAGCCCCACTCTTTCAGATCCATATCATACAAAGCCAATTCGACCTCTGCCCCACCATCATCTCGATTATCAACACCCGTACAAACAGTTGTCAAACAATACAGGACATCCCATGGTAAACCCTCCAAAATCAGTGTCCAGCACCCGCCATGAACCTCCTCCTCCTCCGGTCACGTCATAGGCAAGGAGGACTCCGGAGGAGGATGACCAGCAGATAATCTTTTTTGATGTGTCATCAGAAGTCACAAAGAAATCCCTCGACGTATAACCACGGCCATAAGTAACGGGCACTGGAGGTTGTTGAACAGTTTCTCATATTTTCTTGATCGGGTCGAAAACCTAAATCTCTGAATCTTCATAATTACCTTCGTTACCGTCGACGTCATAAACGCCGCCAAAGACATAGATCTTGCCATCAGCAGTCACTGCATGAGCTCCCCGCCTTTTAGCTTTCATTGGAGTAACTTGCATCCACCGCCCACCACCAACAGCGTCCGCGTCCGCGTCTGCGGCCATGGCAATCACCTCTCGCGATTTATCTCTATAGGTTTCACCACCGCCGCCAATACAGTAAATAGTGGAGCCGAGAGCGACACGGCAGCTCAACCACGGAGTCTCCGCCCCCGAGATCGGCTTGATTTCCGCCGTGATCATCCCTATTCCTCCTCTCTTCCTTACCCGACAATAGGAGGACGAGGAGCGGTAGTCGCTCGATAATTTCAGTTCGTAACAATTCATCTTTCCTGAAGAAGGGTGCCCCCATTCACACACGCGAAAATAGACGATTTTCTCAACCACCGGCAGAGGAGAGACCTTTTTTGGGAATTCAAGCAAAGCTGGAGAGACATTCAGTAGTTTTAAACTTCTTACGAATTTTTTTCTTAATTTCTTCTCCGTTTGATCGATTTGCAAAAGTTTGCCGAACGTTGCCATCACCCCACCCGAGAATGAGATCGATTCTTCTTCTTCTTAAATCTTTTCTTTTCTTATTAGCCGTGTACCACCCTAATGAGGTTTTCCTATGTTAAGTAAGATCGAGGCCGGCCCTCAAAATCCTAATTAGGTTTGGTTAGATCAAAAATTTATGAAAAGTGGAAGTGAACGGAAGTGAGGTAAAAGAAAGGGAATTCAAGTTTCCATCATGCTTTGATTAAATATTTAAGTATCAAAAATATCCTTATAAATATTATTATTATAAATAAATTTATAAGGATAAATTTATATATATTAAATTTATTTAGTAAATAAATAAATAAATTTATGTTAAATAAATATTATTTATACTTAATTATTTATTTTAGTAAGAAAATAGTGAAATATGAAATATATATATATTTACTTGTCCCAGCATGGATTCAAATATTAGTTTTCTAAAAGGATTTTGGATGCA